TCCGTTATGGCCCTGCTGCGTACGCTGGTTTGCAGGCAAAAAAAGAACAGACTCACAGAGCGTTTGATACAACAGCCACATCACTCTACTTTATGGTTAGATGAGAAAGCGCAAATGAAAGCAGAAAATTAGTGCTGTTCGAATGGCTGGAACTGCCGCGAAGCTTGTCGCGCGCGGCACGCGATGTGTACTTTTGACGCGCACTCCGTGGTTGGGATGTGGTGGTGATGGTAGCAAATTGGTTAAAAAAATGAACAATCAAGTGGCACACGAACAACAAGTAGAATGTGAAGCTCAGATGGTGTTGAATGCTTTTCGAAGTTCAACAAGCAAATGTGCGAGCCATTACGTCGTAAAAACTTCAGTCGAATTTAAGAGCATAGGGCACTGATATTGCTCTAGGAGTATTTTGGGAAAAAGGTGTAAAAAAAATTCGAAGAGGAGTTCGACAACGAGTACAGCTGACGCTAGGCTATGGGCGGCTTATTATACATTGGTTCGGTTCGTCGGGTCGAACCCATTTGAGGCCATTCAAGTTTTACCCTCCTCGGGTCAACGGTGCTTACAAGAAATGTAACTGCGACATGCGTTACCATCATTCTACTTCAAAACATGAGATTTGAGCGCCCAGGGCAAATTGGTATCCCCGCACACAGTGTGGCTTCTCTTGGCCATTTTACTACTAACTGACATCTTTGACTAGATTTTCTAATTTTCCAACAATTTAGACTTCGATGACAAGGCTTGGGCATCGTTCACCGCCTCATCTAAACGGTGACATTCATATAGCTTCAGTGAAGAATATCCATCGGTAAGTATGTTCTTGTGTCGATGTTCACAGACATGATTTCTATTGAATCATTCCATTTTTCTTGAGAATTCAATCATATCCTTAGCACTATTGAAAAGAAAAATAGTACTTATTTTGCTGATGAGACATGCATAATTTCACAAACACATTTCGCGGCTGTCCACTAAGGCATCGCTTACTGAATAGCATAGGTAGGTCTACCCGCAAAGGTAGTGCCACATTTAAAGCTCGAAATGTGTGGTAATGGTGTTAGTGGCTTATCACCTCCTAACACGTATGTACGCCCATCGCTAGGAATCCTGTCATACCTGCGTCTAGCGCGTCCCCTATGCTCTCTTATCTCCCGCTGCCGCGCCCTACTGCCCATAGCAATGTTCTATTTCATAGACTCTTTCACACCCTCATAGGAAGAGACCTCATTTTTCCGTGTTTTCGGAGTTTCTTTTTGGCTTTCTTTTTCGCTTTCGGGTTGTTTAGTTCTACTTCTTTTTTTTATCATGGTCAGTTTCCACGTATCTGCTGTAAGAAAAAGATCCATTAGAGGCATAGTACGCTCAAATAGCCGCTCATTGAAAATGAACGTTGAGGTGCTAGAAGGTGCTGCAATGAATTCCCAAGAAAATTGCATGAAAACCCGCAAACGTGGGCATTTGCCCGTTCATTGTCACGCTGGATTGGAAACCCCAATAACATTTTTTTGACAAGTCTCTTCCTTTGTTGAGTTTTTTGTTTGATTTTTTCCTTCGTTCATGCTTCGCTACTAGTTATTCATCAACTACCCTTCTCTAAACATATTCTTCTGCTAGTTTACAGGAGCGCTTCGATTTCACGCAAATAAATAAAATTTCCATTTCCAGTAGTAACGCAGCGCTCTGCGGGCTAGAATGCGGCGGCGGAGAGGCTGGCTTGGGGACAAGCTCAAGTGCGGAGAATAGCACGAGGCACGAGAGCTTTCAAAGGGACGGGTAGAGCTTTGCTACGTGCTACATGGCGCCTTTTCTTCCTAAAGCTTGCCACATTTTATTTTTTAAGCATACTTCTACAGTAGGCAAACTTCGCTCGTTCAGCATCAAATTATTGTATAAACCTGGCCTTTAAGGGATCATCAGTTATCTTGAAGTGTCAGGTGCAGTCCAAAGTTGGAAATAAAGAAAAAGTCAGATAGCGATGTTAACATTTATGATGCCCGCTCATGTTTTGAACTAGGATTTTTGAGCTACAAATCTCGTCTCACAAATAACACTTTCTTATGGGAAAAATAGAGGGGCAGTACAGAAAAAAATAGCAAAATTTTTGGTCAGTAATGACAAAGCGAAGAAGTAATGATTTTTTGTCACCTTTTTTTCCGAAATCTTCCCAGCTTCGCTTTCATCATGTGGTGTGTTGGGTCCATCGACAAGTGTTGGACGCGAAATCTGCTGGCTTTACAAGCTTAACTCAACCGTAATACGAAACCAGTCAAGCAAGGAAGTAGCCTCCCACCACAATCAATTCATCCGTGCTGAATGGCGGTGCTGCGGTCAAGCGCAGATTTTTGGTTCCGACATGCGTTGAGGTGGAAGGGTCTGCATCAAAAAGCGCCCCTCCCCCTCCAAAAAACGTACTTTTCGCCGGAAGAATTATCATGATGACATACCTTGTGACGCACTTGTTGACATCAGGTAGCATCAACAGCATAAATAGGCACAAGTGATACCGATTTGTTTCAAGACTGTCACCACTTGGGCCGCTGAGTCTCCATTACAACACTCCTACTCCTCCCCTCTGCTCACCCGGACGATAATTGCGGTATATCTCGGGAATTTGTTTACGCTGAGCGCGATTGCCTAAAACGCCAGAATTCCACTGCTTGAATGGTTGCACCGGTGTGCTTCACGGCCTGCCCCAAGGAAGCAGTCGAGCAGGCTCAGAGGTGGATGGTGAACAAGTTCCACTCATCACTGACGGAAAGGGTTAAGATAAGAATTACGGTAGAGATGGCTGGACGGGCGTAACAATACCACGAAACGATGCGATAAGATAAGATGATGCAGTATGAGGTGCAATCCAGAGTGAAAATCAGATGATAGCGACAGCTGTCAATACCAACAACACAGCCATTTGCAAACCTATCCACGTCCGAAATGGTGGGCGAGCACTAGTTTCAGTTTTGAAGTGGGAGAGCTCTCTTCGGGGGCCTTATTGCGCCGTTGATAAGCCCAGGAAGCGCCACCTATTGCACCATCGGTTAGGTTTCCTACCCAATCCTCTATGCAACTTTTACACTCGTTCCTTTGTGATTTATCGCGACACCTTCCTTGAATATATAACACGAGGGATCGCCATGGTAGTGTGAGGTATTCAAGGTATGAGTGGCTTAATAAGTCCATGACAACAGACGGGTAGGGATCGAACTTACTTCCGAAGGCATCCACTGGTCATAAAATAAGCAAAGTAAGGCGGGATCGACTTCGATCAATCTTTTCCCTCAAGGATCATCACACACTGAACTTTTATCAAAATAATAGCGACCTTGGAATGAAGTCCTTTCTACGAAATGACTTGCTGGGAATACTGATGTACTGGTAGTGGTTTTATCCTCCCAGACAAGTCTGGTGCCAATTGACTAAGCGTAGCAGACAGAGAGCTGTTCGCCTGAGACAAAATTCAGTCCGAGATTTGGTCCCGGACTATGCGCGTGGTAGATGGCATCACTTGCAACTTTTCCACCTCTGCTCTTGCATTCTTGCATGAAGAAGAAAATAAAGGAAGGTACAATAACTTATTGGTGTTAATAATGGGTGAGATGATGTAAATAGTGACACGTTCACCCAACGCTTGGCGGTGGGTCTCAAATTCCGGACAAACTTCGCCAATTCCAACCAATTTTAACATCTTCGGAATCGGTCAATCGGTACTACACTTGTAGGGAAGGACGAAACACTGCCTTGTACATCGACCGACCTCGCGAGTCGAGTGGTTTGAATCGTTTTCAACTTTGATTCGAGGAGGTCGGTCGTTGTACAAGGCACCATGTGCTTTTAAGTGGAGGTAGAATACATGGGGCATTCCATAAAAGAATTTATAATATTATAGCTCCAAATGTGTTCCATAGACAATTTTCGAATTTTCAAGGCACATTGAGGCAATGAGGGTGAGAGCTCAGATTATCCATCACAAAAAGAAATGAGACATCAGGTGAAATGCCATCTGAGCTTCAATGGTGCATGTAACTTGGTACAAGTTGAGTTGGCAGCATGCATTTAAAATCCTCACTCACCTCAATTTGAACTGCGGACGAGTATTCTGTAAAAAAAAGGTTGTACTATCGGTCATTATATTCATAACCGATAACTCACTCATTTCAGCTTTTCCATCTTTTTCCTTCTCTTTGTCCTTGACACTCATGTCTTTCATCTCTGCTTTCAACTTGTCCTCGAGCTGATCGAATCTGAGCGCTTTTTCGTCGTCTTTTGACTTACTCCTTCTCTTAAACAAATATCAATCAATCAACAACGGGGATAATAATTGATCTAAGTCTCGAACGGTGAGTGTTAGAAGTGGTGCTACTTGTCACTGCACCATCCGCCTTGGGCTTTTGGCCGACTAGGACAATCTAATTGTTGGGTAAATGTTTGGGCTCAGGTTCATAGAAGTTCTTTCCGTGGATAGAGGTGTTAAGTCCACACTGCAGGAGCCGCACCACTTTCGCTCCTCTAAACGCGTCCTAATGCTAGAACTTGAAACTTCTGACGCCCACAAGGACCAGAACCCGCTCACCATTCGATTTCTTGTCTGTCTCGTAAGGTGGACCTGCTGTGCTCGCTCGACTCGAACTTATCACCACTGTCTGCGATTCACTTTATCCCTTCTTCCGCTGCCTGCTTCTTGGACTTCTCCGCAGTGTGGAGCAAGGAACTTCGTACCCTCACTTCGGAGAACGAGAAGAGCGTCGAGTGCAGACCACACACCACAAGTGACGACGGCCAAGAAAAAAGTGCTTTTCTTCTTTTTCGGCCGTCGTCACTTGTTGTGTGGTCTGCACTCGACGCTCTTCTCGTTTTCCGAAATAGAGGGTATGTTGTGTGTTTTGACGACACCTTTTCGCTTTTTCCACTTGCTGTTCACTTCGCAGGGGAACGGTCAACAGAATCGTGTGGTCGCCACGCCCACTGCGTCGCGACGCGGCACTTTTCTGATGGGCGCGGTTTTTTTTTGAATTTGACGGTTGAAGTAGTGGATTTCTTGATCTATGTGGGACAGATACAGACGGATACAGAATTCCAACTTGCTCTGGCTTCCATAGAAAATGGCACGAATAACTCTGTTTTCTGTTTCGTCTGTTTCGAAGCCCATAATAATGGGCTTCGAAAAGCAATATTGAAAAACGCGGTGAGAAATTACGTTGGAGGAAATTCGAACTATCGGCGCATTGATTAAAGTTCAATGGTAAAAGACGTGTCAGTTGGCGTCCCTTTAACACTTCAAATTCGAATGACGCACACAGAAACTCGTCCACTGCAGTTGCGACGTCGCGGCCACGGCTAATAGCGCGGTATCCGGACAATTTTTTGACATACACCCCTACTTTCATATTTCAGCAGGATTACCGCATCAATGTGATCCTGATCCTTGCCTTTCACCATAGAACCTGATTGGAGTTATTGCCTAGGTTTAGTTCTATTGGGAACTACTCAACAAAAGGCGTGCGCGTCACAGCTTCAATGTGATAAAACGCATGATATGATTACAGCATAAACCCACACTCAATCACTATTATAATGGTGCTACAAGCCGCTTATTAGATTTATTCATGAGATCATTTGTCGAGAAAAGAGTGGGAGTTGTAGAGGGTCGTGAAAAATACCCAAGCCGCTTCAGTAATTACTTGATTAAGTCGACATTCATAATTATATAGTACTATGTATAAGTACATATTAGTGCGTGTACATTATTTTCTAATCTTAAATGCTACGCTAACGACGTCGTTCCGATCTCAGAAGTGATATATTGCGGCTGAATTTCTCTCATGCATGCAAAGCTAAAGTGGAGGTACGTAGGGGAGAGAAGAAAGGGACTCGGGTCAACCATTGTATTTAAGCAAAATTTCGGGATCATTACGACTCCCTTTTTCCCTCTGAAGCAGCCTTATCCCTCTTTCACCTCTCATCCAACTCCTTGCTATGGTAAGTCAGGGTCAAGCAGGCCGTCACGGAGAACCTTGCATTACAGGCCCTCTCCCCACCTCCCCCTTAATGGTTCATGGCGGACCGTTAAATCTGGTGCTCTGCGCTAGAATGTACATACGGGACACGAGAAGAGCGTCCAGTGCAGACCAACACCACATGACGACACGAAAAAACGAGAAAGAAAAGCTGTTTTTTTCGGCTGTCGTCCACTTGTGTGTGTGGTCGCACTCGAAGATTTTCATACTTTATCCAAAAATAGGGTAACACTACGGCTGAAAGCTCCGCCTACGATTCCTTAAAATTCTTCAGCTCATTGAAAAAGGCTCCTACAACTGAATAATAGTCAAAGCACACTGAACCTTGAATTTGTATATATCTCACAAAATTAATCAATATTGAACGCAATAATTTTCATACTTATGGGTTCTTAAGAGAGGAAGTACGCTGCAGCGCCTATTAACTAGCAAACTGCTGTGCTCATTCTAGTTAGGCGAAGAAGCATGGAAACATTAGTCAAGATTCAATATTGTTAATTGACTATTTGAATATATCCAACTTGGGGAGCTTTTTGAGTTAATCTGCATATGACTCCCAGGCGCCAACGCAATAACAGGGGCATCCTTTAGGACTGAGCCAAAGAGGTGGGCAGGATACTGCCGGGCAAATATGAAAAAGGCTCACGCAACACAGACTCTTTCTTTCCCTGTCCCATTTTTGACTAAAAGGATATGTTTTATCCGGCTTCAAAAGCATTCCACCACACTGCTCAATGCGATAGCACTTTACTCTCATTTGGAATTGTGCAATTAACCTCCCCTTCAAAAGCGAGAAAGTGTCGGGTGCAGACCAAACACCACAACTGACGACGGCCTCCAAGTAAATCTGGTTAGAAGTTGTTCATAGTGATAGCTGATTTCTGGTAAATGATAGTTGTAATTAAATCGATAGAATACAACTGCAACAGGCTAATCATTTCATTGGCAGAAAACATTAACATTTTGTGAAGGCCGTCGTCACTTGTGGTGCATGGTCTGCACCCGACACTTTCTCGCTTTTTGAAGAGGGGGAGTTTGAAACGCCGACACAAAGGCTTGCCATGTGAAGAACGATCTTTGGACCCGTGAATTGAATTGTCGGGCCTAGTTTATCAAAGAGGAGGAGGTGAAAGCTTGGCTGCTTCAGGAAAGGTTCATTCCACGGTGTGCACTTGACCATCGCTTCTTGACCATACCTTTACTGCTGGTTTCGTTTTCCGGAACAGTCAGCATTTTCGAGATCTCGCATTTCATTTGCTTCATTTTCATGTGGAACCCGGATTTTCTCTCCGGAGCTTTTCAGTTCAAGATGGAATACTTTCGCTGGGACACAGTTGCCACCAATTCGACCGGTAAATCACAGATAATTTCATAAGGACATCATAATTAACCCAACCTTGTGCATATCGTTATCCTTTCGTCCGTACTGCTCTGAAAACATTATCAATACTGCTGCAAATTGAATGGCAGCTTACAGAATTCTAGCGAATAGTAGGCGGAAGGCAAGGATGGGTAGCGATGATGATTCGACCAATCAGAGATGAGCAGGCGAAAGCGCAGACAGCTGTCACTTTGTCGTAGTTGTCAGAAGTAAGTCTGGGTTTTCAATAACAGGGGTGCCGAGGGTAGTT